GGTGGATTACGACAATCAGACGTTTATATTGATCAGTTTGTTTAAATCAATATGAATGCTGGGTGCTTTATTTCTTTTACTAAATCGAGATTGAAAGTAGACTTCTGCCTCCAGCTAGAAAGACATCCAGGTTTGATTCCTTTAGAAACAGACCTTGATGTTTTCAATAATCACAGATGGTAGAGGCCTCAACTTCGTCCTAAAACCCCATCAGCTGAGGCTACATCTCCAAAAATACCTTTCTGTAAGCAGGAAACCATTTAAGTAAGTGTGTCTCTGCATTAATGTGCTCAAGACGCCTTAAAAAACACTCGAAGACAATCCAGAAGGTAACATACAAAATTGATAATGATTCATAATGAAGTTGTATACCAATCTACAGATTCAGCTGATGGGATTAGATAAGAATGTTATGAGTACAGTCCACATAGCATATATTTAAAAATGTTTAATTTACAAACATGTAAAATGAGTTATTACCTGTAACTAATGCCCTACCTCAACGCAGCTGGTTGGCATCTCCGCTGGCCTGTTGTTGATCCAGAACCGGTACCAGCCGGCTGACAGTGTGTGGTCACAGATCAGGTCTTGGATGGCCGTGTTCTGGATCTCGGTGGAGTCGAAGTTGACGCTGCGGTATGGACTCCGTAGGATCCGATATCCTCCAGGATAACACTCTGGAGCTGTGAAGGAGGATGGTGAAAATGAGCAACTGAGGCGCTGCTGAAATGGGCATAGAAGCGAGTTTTAAGAATCTGAATCGTTCCACATGAAATCCCCTCCTTGAGCTCTTCAGACTCTAGAGTCTGTGAACATAATTAGATTAGGTTTTTATCTGCAGCGAAGTCCGGCTGTTTGGCTTCAACAGAACGGAGCTGATTACCGTAGACAAAACAAAAGCAGCACATGTGGGAATCAAGTGCATGGATTTCTGCCATTATTGAGACTTTTCTTCTCTATCAGTTATTTTGTTTCAATGGTTGAACATCTGGCCTCTTAATGAAAGGTATATTAAATCCTGCTGAGAAAGTTGGAAAAAACCAGCGTGTGATGAAACTCAGTGCTTCAAAGTATTAAAGCCCAGATATGTTTCACATTCAGCAACTAGACCACAAAGAATCACCAACTGTGTGAAATGTAAATTCTAAATAAGATGAGTAATAACAGAGCATTCTTTACTTGATTGCTCAAAGTTGTGCCAGAATGTAATAAAAATTCTATAAAACCAAAATTACGAAGACAATGTCTTAAAGGGTCAATTAGAACCATCAGACGCAGAATCAGCGGCACGAGTTAAACCATCAGACTGGTTCCAAATCACAGTAAGATGACCTAGTTTAATGGGAACCAGGAAGGTTGTGGTAATGTTCTAACCCTTTAAACCTTTTGAACACATTGCAGGGGTCTCCCTTAAGTGAGTCCAAGCCGTATTTGGATTTTAGTTTACTGGTAAAGCTGTTTTCTGTTCAGGCCATTAGGTGACGAAGAACCTGAGAAGAAATTATTTGTTTCCCATAAAAAAAATTGATGTTCTTTTATCACCTTCTCATTAAATATCTTTGTTCTGATGGTGACCATATTATATTATTATCACAGAATAGAGGTGCGCTAACATTACTGTATGCTGGTAAAGAATCTCAGTCATCCAGGTCAAAGTCATTCCAAAAAAAGTTAAACAATCCAGTGGACTTGGTTTTCAAGTTTGAAGACGTTTCCCTTTCCATCTAGGAAGCTATTTTAATTCAAAATGTCGAAATGAAATAGCGTGATTTCAAGGCTTTATAGAGTGGACCAAAACAAGAGAGACCAAACAACAGAAGAGCGACTTCCTCTGGACAAGACTTGGCATTACATCTAGACCTTATGGACAAAGGACATTCTTTTGAGGTCCAGAATGTTCACATTTTGGACAAAGAAGACAGTGGTTTTGAGAGGGGTGGAAGGGAAGCCATTGATAAGAGAGAAAAACCAACCTTAAACGGAGTGGATGGACTCAGATTTCAGCCTTAAAAAACCTACAATGCAGCTATTGAGTTGATTCCTTCCCGCTATCATTGTAGCCCCACCCCATTACACGGGACCAGAGCAGGTTGCCTGTTCAGCCAGACAATCAACTCCCTTATGGACCCCTTTCAGAGACATAGACATGTGTCGGGCATTAAAGGCTAACAAGGAAACCAAACGACCCTACAAAAAAGGGGCGGAGCCATTCATCTGGTTCAATTTGGATGTTTTCTAAACCAAAACAAGGCTTTTTTGTAACTTTTTTGGAATAACATTACATCACATTAGATCATTGGTTCCTGCACACTTTGGGAATTCCCAAAGAGTTCCAAAGTGCGCCCCCTGAAGGGATTTGGTGTAACTGCAATGGAAGCTTCTAATAGGTGAACATTATAATAAATTACCTGTTTTGCGTTTGTTTTTTAATCGTTGATGGCAATGTTGAATTATGTACACTGTAGAAGAAATTAACTTGAAATAATGGCACTTTAGAATTTGTAATTGGTCAATTGGTCAAGCTTGAAAAATTCAGTTTAGGCAACTGGACATAAAGTATTGTAGATGTTTCGCCTCTCATCCAAGAGGCTTGTTCAGTTCTGACGGTGGGGAGCACTGAGATTAATGTACTGTAGGTGTAACAAAAAAAATAGGGGGATTTAATGGTTTAAAGTGAATTGTTTTACTGCAATTGACTTTTATTTGTTAAGAAGTTTGAAGTCAAAGTTGGGCCCACCAAGACCAGTTTGGGAACCTCTGCTGTAGGCGTAGTCACGTCTATGGTGTTTATCCATCTCATCCTTCATCCTACCACATCTCACTGGAACGGACCCTGGACTAACTGTACGGACTAATCCTCTTCTGGCCTGTAAACACATAAATATCTACAATAATGAGAGAATGGTAGAAGTAAATCCCTTTAAATCTAACATCCGCAGTCCAACAAAGTTGACGTCCTTTAATCTCAGAAAAAACAATTTATAAAAATGGTCAGACATGGTCCAATCTGGACCTAATTTGGTCAAAATGGAGACTAGACATGCCATCTGAAACAGGAGCTATGCCTTCTAAGTCTTTATGTAAAATCATTCCACATTTAGTGGATCCTTGTATGGCATTACGCTGCTTTACCCTACTAGGTTTGCATTACGCGCGGTGGTCTGGTTGTGTGGTTGCTAATCTCTGAAGATAGAGATGCTTCACTTAGGAACAAGGCTTAGAGAGACCTGAGCTCCATCTGAGGCAAAACAATATTTTTAGAAATTTTTAAAAAGAGACCAATCTCTTTTTTTTCAAAGAGAAAAAATGGAAAACCGTTGCAATAAAGGTAACATACCATACTTACAGTTGAGTAATAACTTCTCTAACGAGGGAAATATCTAAGAAAATGGCACAAAAACAAAGAAATCTCCCTTCACTCAGTTATCCCTTCAATTACTGACTCGTCTTACTTTGGTTCAATCTTACCCTTAAAGGGAAGCTGGATGGGCTTTTTTCCAATAACTAGAGGATTATCTAGTCGTATAGCATAAGCAGACTCACTTTATTGGAAACACCAGATGAGTCGTATACCTTAATGCTAAAGGGTTAAAGAACTAACGACTGAACATTTCACCTTTTTTAAAATTCGATTAGTTCTCACTGGTTTGAAAAAATTGATGTTGATTATAGGAACAGGAAAGACCTCTAAACCCCTTGAGGTGATAGGAGTTCCCGGGAATAACAGACATTCCTGTGAGGCTCTTTTGGATCGCCCCAGGAAAGGATGCTCGGACCAAAGGGGGCCTAAATAACTACGCTTGAAGGTGGAGTCGAGGTTTCAATTATTCAGCAGTCGTTGAGTTTAAGGGTCTAAGCTATCAGCAGAGGTCTTTGTTGTGAAACCGGGCAAACAGACTCTGGCCAAGAGGACTTGTTTCCTTTGTTTGACTTGGAGTAAAGGACACGTGAAGAAAAACAAACATTCAGGATGTCCTGAGCCCAGAACACAGTTACAGCCGATGATCCCAGTCCCAAACATGGCCACTCCTCACGTTGACAGCCTCTTTAAAGCAAATGCTCTCGTTTACGTTGTCGCCCCTCTGAGTGTACAACCCGTCTGGAAGCTCCCATGAAGACAGGCGAGGTCACAGGTTGTCCAAACAGCCACGTCTTCAGGGAGGATGAGTGTGGACTAGACTGGGGCGGCTGGCTAAACCCCTGGCTTAATGGGTTTATTGGGGCAGGAGGGGGGGAGGCAGTTAATGAACCGGGCCCCCGGGAGAGAAACGATCCCACACTGGATGGGGGCCACTGGTGGCCCAGATGTGCAGGAGAGCAGATTAGTTAGAGATAATGTGGTCTGTTTCTCAGAAGTGAAACAAAAGTGTTAAAACAGTTTTATTGGAGTTAATTTATGGTCCAACTAAAAAAGTCTCAGTTAAGAACTAAGAGTAAAACTTTTTGTGCACTCATACATTAACTAATACATAAATTGTCTAATTTTGCTTTTCTGATGTTAATACATTAAGAGCAAGAAATAAAGAAATAAAATAAGAGATTCTGCAGTTTACCAGACAATAAATCTCCAAGGACTTGATCGAGCTTCCATAAACAAAACCACGTCTGAATGAAAGCAAACAAACTTTTCCAAATTCTGTGAAATCCTTTATTTGTGGGCATTTTATAAACATAATTTTTTTAAAAGACCTCCTGGATTTGTCTTCACTGGAGTAATTAGGGTTGACAGCCTTTCCTGTAAGCGTTCTCCAAGGGTTCCAGATAATGGTTCCCACTGTGCTTCACTAACGATCCAAAGCATTACAAATTAATTGCATCCTTTTCTGATTGGTGTATACAATTTTATCTGTTTAAGTATGACATTGGCTCAGGCATGATGTTAACTGAGATCGTTTAGCCTACTTCATGTGGTCATGTGGGTACTCTAGAGGTGATAACTCGGTTCTCCAGGACAGAAGGTAATCAGGCTTTGGTCTGGCTGGTGAAAATGAAACTAAAATATAAGGTTAGGGCTTTGGTGGCGCAGTAGTTGGTGCACATGACCCATGTTCGACTCTGACCCGTGGACCTTTGCCGCATGTCTCTCCCCCTCTCTCATACCCCCTTTCCTGTCAGCCCACTGTGCCCCCCCCCAAAAAAAGTAAGGTTAATAACTATTAACTGATCTGAATTGATCAAATGGTCAGTTAACACCTCTTTTGTGCTTTAACCCTTTATAGTGCACTCAGTGAAATACTAAAACCTAAATTTCAAGCCGTTTTTGTTATTGGAATCCAGGACAAGACCTTATTACCTTTGCATAATTAAAAAAATATAGATTTTTTGATCGCAAAAATGAATATCAATGTAATAACAAGCAACACCAACTTGTCCGAATATATTAAGAAAAATAACAAAACTACTTCTATAAGAAATTCATGAAAAACAGCACATTTGTTTGGTCCAACATAACCTTAGAGGAATTAATGCTGATACTGGCACTTACTTTCTTTAGTTTATAAACCTAAATATAACTGTTAATGAAGCTTATTAAGTTTTAAATTAGCTTTTTACCTTTTTTTCTTGACTTGCTAATGTGTTTTGTTTTCAACTTAATTTCCAGTAGGTAATATATCATTCAAGGGCTCATCTAATTGGTCAAATGCCAAAATCAGATGTGCAACCATGTACAGTAGCAGGATCTTTACTGAATGACTGGATATAGATCTTGTGCTTCTAGACTCCATTTTAAAGGGCTGTGCAAGTGATCAAAAATTATAACTTGCACTGTAAAGGGTTAAGATGTCTGAAGAGTAGAAAGTAAACAGATTTGAGTCCAAAATATCAGTCTGAACCCATTTCTAGCTTCAGAAGAGTCTTCTGATTCAATTTCCCTAACATTCCTACTGAGCTTCATGGACGCTTGTTTCCTGCTGGTCAAAGGAAAATTAAACCAGCTCAGCTCAGCTGTGTGACAAGAGTTTCATCAAACCTTTCTTTGGCTCAGCTGCATTAGGCCCCCTGAGGGCTTCTTTTTATGACCCCAGCACCCTTTAGTTTACTGTTCTAAGCTTTGCTGCTCTGAGATGCTCTGCAGACTTTTGACCCTCTGACAGCAGCTCAACAGAGAAGTTTCACTTTTCCCCAAAAATAAGATTCTTCCTTCTGACCAACCCTCTATTTTTTAGCTCATAAAAATAAACTAGACTACAATGATATGTTATTTCCTATATTTATAGATTAAATTTAATCTCCAGCTGTTTAAAGAAATGCCTCTGTAACCTAATGCAGGTCCTTCAAAGTTTGATTGGGTTAAACCTGATTAAACATTTCCACGTTTCTTTGATTTGACCTTTTTTACGTCTATTAACGTCCATTTGATCAGAGGAGTGTGTGTTCTGCACAGTCCTGACTCACGTCCTCTGCATGCATCTTTTTCTGCTGCACCTACCGTGTTGCGCCAGCGCTCCAAACTGCACAGCCCACAGCAGCGCGACGCGTAACCATCCGAAAACCAAAGCAGATGCGCAAAAATCCATGTGTGCAGCGCGACCTGACGCAGCTGGATCCGCTCAGTGTCTCTGGTCCATTGGAAGTGGAAGGGAGAGGTTGCAAAAGTGGCGCAAACTATTCTGTTAATTAGAGAACAGGCTGAAATGTGCAGCCCTCTTCACGGAGAGCGGCTCAGAGATGAAAGAGGAGGAGGAGGAGGAGGCAGGACAGCGCTTGTCCTGGAGGAGGGTCTTTGGAGATCCTGTGTGTGAACATCCAGAGAACAACAGCTCTCCCAGGCTCAGTTGTTTCTCTGAAATTCAGGAATCCGAGGACCATTAAACCGCAGACACACAGCTTTATTTACTCCCCTTGAAGTTTATGTTTCATAAGTTTTAACAATTTTATTGGGATTTTTTTGGACACCCACAAAACCCTCTGAAATCCATCTAAACTTCATCTAACTCAGTTTCAGAGAATGCTGCTTTGGCATTCAGCATCCCTCAGTTAAATCCATTGGAAGCATTTGGCTTCAAAGGATTAGCAATTAGTTAATTAAGTCCATCTGTGGACATGAGTGGCTCTTCACCCAGGGCGCCATGGTACTTCCATACTGCCTGCAGTATTTAAAGTCGCAGGGAAGCTGCTGTTCCAACGGTTGTAGTTAATTCTCGAGTGAATAAAGTGAATGGAATTGGTCGTTTATCAAGGGGATGGGATTGCATGTTTGTTTGAGGCGGGTTTGTCGGAAGCATCTTGCTAACCAGTTAGCAACTTAGTGCTAGCAGGTTCCCAATGGGAAATTCCATTGGGACCAAGTAGCACTAAATTGGTGACTTAGAAACGAC